ATAAGTGCTTCCCTGGCAAGCACAAGGGCCTGAGTTCAGGCCCTGGTTCTGCCAAAAAAAAAAAAAAAAAAAAAAAAAAAAAGAGAAAACTCTGGGCACACCTGTGGAAAGAGCATTTTAAGCAAAACACATGAAAGCAAGCAAACAACCAAACAAACAAAGGAAGCAGCTATACAGATCCTAAAGTGAGTTTGTGTATGATACTTTTGAATAATCTGGAAATGCATGAGCAAGGGAAGGTACTTGAGAAGAAACGAAGGCAGATGGGTCAGGTTGCACAAGACTTGGTTGATACTTGAAAGGTTTGTCTTGTAGTTGGAATATGAAGGATGGCTCTGAGCACATAATCTTATTTTTCTATTAAAAAGCTAAGGTAAAATTTGTATAGCATAAACCATCATTTTAAGAATGTTTTTGTTTTCAAGTCAAGGGTTTGCTGTGTTGCCCGGGTTGGCCTCAAGCCCCTATGCTGAAGTGATGCTTCTGCCCTAGCTTCCCATGTAGCTAGGACTACAGGAGTGTACCCCCATGCCTGGCCATTTTAATGGTTTTAAAGTGTCCAACTTTGTAGCTGTTACTTTTAGCATTTTGTGCAACGATGAGTATTTTCAAACATTTTTATTGCCCCCAAAAGAAACTCTATACTCATTTAGCAACCACTGCCTGTTTCTCTCACTCTTTAAACTGTTTTCTATCTCTGTAGATTTGCCTATTCTATATTTTCTCCATACAAATGGATTCACGCAAAATATGCCTGTTTGTTTTCATCTTCTTTTCATTAGCATGATGCTGTCAATGTTCATCCATGTTGCGGCATGTGTCAGAACTTTGTTCTCTTTTATGAATGGGTAATATTTTAATCTATATAATATTATATGTGTATACAACATTTTGTTTATTCAGTCATTTCTTAATAGATTTTGGGGTTATTTCCACCTTTAGGGTATTAGGAATAATGCTCTATGAACATTTATGGAACAGATTTTGTGTGAACATATGCTTTTAATTCATTGCTCATAGGTATATAGAGCTAGAAACAAAATTCTGGGTCATATGGTAACTATATATGATTTACATTTTAAAAGCTTATTTTGGCTGCTGTGTTGTGGACAGATTGTGCGGGAACAAGGGAAATTGCAGAATGTTTAGCTAGGAAGCTGTTGCAACCAACCAGTTGCTAGATGATGGTAGTCTAGGCCAGAGTAATGGCACTGTAACAGGTAAGAAGCGATCAGATTCTAGATAAATGTTAAAGAAAAGCTAAGAATACTTACTGATAAATTGGATTTGTATTGTGAGAGAAAGAGGAGTCAAAGATAATGCTAGAGGTTTTTGACCTGAGAAATGAAAGGAGGAAATTGCTATCAAATGATATTGTGGGAAGAGCAGGTTTGAGGAAGAATCACTTTTTGATGTTAAAGGTGTTGTTTGAAACATCCAATTTGGAAAGTGTCTTAGTCAGTACTTGTAAGAGAGAAGTTTAATGCAGGACACAGAAATTTACAAGATTAGCATACAGTATTCACCTATAGAGTCAAATGCAAAAAGTAAGCATTCTGTTTGAGTACTACACATCTGAGGAATCCTGCTGAAGGGCCAGATTCCATAGCAGTGTCCCATGCAAGTTTTTATGAGGAGGCTGAAGAATCCATGATGGAAGACTGAAAGATCTGTGCTGGAAAGTCTACGGGCCAGTGCTGGAGGCTAGCAAGTCTGCTCTGGCAAGCTGGAAGCCGACTAATTCTCACAGAAAACCAGGAGATGACACCCAAGGCACAGGTGGAGACCAGAGATCCTCCCAAGAGAACAACTGCCATCTTTGGTGAAGAAGACTGGAGCTCTGTTGAAGACAGCAGCTGAAGCTTTTGTGAGGGAAATCAGTATAAAATCCTCCCCTCCTCTTATAGCAGTCCAACAATCATGCTGACCCAACTCAGCTGGGCATTGCTACTCAAGTTGAACTTTCATTAATTAACTACTACAGGTAAACTGTTGGAAAAACAAATAGGGAGTTTAAGAAATAAATATGAGTTATTATTTTATAGGACAAATTTAAAGCCATGAGACTACTAGAACTTATTAAAGGATAACTCTAGAGATTTTTGTTCTAATGGTGTTTGTAAATAGGATATCAAGTCTGCATCTTGTACAGCAATTAACCACTAGGAAGAATTTCTGCAATGTGTTAATTACTGAAACTGTCCTACCAATTTGGTTTGAAACTGTCACGTTGCTATTTGTTTCTCAATAAAATTATGGAAAAAAAAGAAAAAAAGAAAAGAAAAACATCCCAGGGAAGAAACCTAGACATAATCCAAATATTAAGAGTTCTAGTGGGGGAGGCGACCAAACAGGGGGTTGAGAAGCAGCAGGCAGTAAGATTGGAGGAGGAAACCAGGAGAATGTGGAATCTTGGAAGAGAGAGGAAGTTACCAAAAATACTTGAGGAAGAATGATTTCTCTCCCCTTGTTGCTTCTCTCATTAATTATTTGAGATAAGGAAATCAGGAATGGTATTCTGACTTTCAGAGATGGGACTGTTATTTTGAATGCCCAGATCATTCTTCATTGGTTAATTAAGCTAGAAAAGAACTCTGATTTTCTCTCTTAGTTACTTTCTCACTGATGAGACCAAGTATCTGGCACCCAAAGTTAAAGGAAGAAAGTTTTATTTGTCTCACAGTTTGTAGAGGCCCTAATCTAGTCCATAATTTGTTGGCTCCAAGGCAGGGTGGCATGGTATGGAAGAGGAGAAATAGTTCACGGTGGAAGAAGGCAGCAAAGCAAGCAGAAGACCTAAGCAGCATCTTTCTGCCCCTTTTATATTCCACCTAGGCTACAGAGATTATAGTGGCCCAAAGCAGTGGACTGATTTAGTAATCACATAACCTTAATCCCAGCAAGCATCACACATTCTAGATCTAGCCACCCCTGAAAAAGCCCCACTGATGACTACATGAGGTTTTGAGGAGACTTCTAGACACCAACCTTAACATCTTATGAATATTGTCTTGACATATTATTTATTATTGGAAATGCATAAGCCATTTTGAGGGTCTTTATTCAAGAATGCAATCAACAAATATCTGAGAACGTACTTTATACTTGCCTATCTTCTAGACAGTGGACACACAGCAGTGGACAAAATATGTGGTCACTTATGAACTTAGTCAAATGGAGTAGAATGACATCAAATAAATAATTTGTTTAAATTACTGAACAACATAAATACCTTGTTTTAAAAATGTAAGCAAATAATTACATATATGATGGATGCTACTGTAGTGGATTGCTAACTGGTGGTCAACTTGTTACACCTAGCTGAACTGAACTAGCATGGTACTGGGTGTGTGAGTTCTACTGAAGATTTTTGCCAGCAGTGTTAGGGGCAGAACTGAAGAAGCTGTTGAGAGGCTGGTAGGGATGCTGTTTGGGAAGCTGTTGGAGCTTTTGGAAGCCATTGCTTCTCCTGGGCTGTTCCACTGGGTGACGTTGTCATGCTGGCTTTCCTGATGAACTTGGCTGTTCTTATTGCTGGAAGAGCTGGGGACCTTTGTTGTCACTGAGAATGGCTATGATTTATTTGTGGGGTGCTCTAGTCCTCATTTTGAGCATCACTTCCTGACTCTAGAGGGGAAGATCATGCACATCTCAGTCTTCTGGAGAAGCTTGCTTTTCCTGTTGGGAACTCAGCTTTCCTCATAGATGGGGGAGCTTGGGACTTCACTGTTGCTGAGGATGGCTGTGGTGCTTTTGCAGGAAGCTCTGATTCTTACCTTGAGTGTTGTTTCCTGTCCATTTCAGATTCCTCAGCCTGCTAGGACAGATTTTCATCTCCATGGCACAGACTTCCTAGCTTCCACCACTAACTTTGGGCCTTTCCAGTGTAGATCTGTGAAGCAGGCCTGCGTGAGAGTTTGTCATGGACTTTAGGCCTTTAGTTGGAGTTGTGGGAGGCATTGTTATAAGCTCTAGGTTTTCAGCTGGATTCATGCAGGGTATTAGGATCCAGGCCCTCAGCTGGATTATTTGGTCTTTAGTATGTGGACATATTTCCTGCACTCCTTATATATGATTCTTAGGGGGATTCATTAGAAAATAATCTTATAAAATATGTTCTTGTATTGCATTGTTTCCTTTGCAAAAATCCCAAACCATGACAACTACTAATAAATCAGGGTGTTTTAGGAGTAAGGCTATTTTTCCATACTTAGTGTATGGCCAGAGGGAATTGGAGGAATTGACATAGGAGAAGAGGACTGAATGAGTTGATTCAGCCAGGTTAAGAAAACAACATAGCAAGCATAGAGAAGAAGGAGAGGAAAGCTTTGTAATGTTCTGGAATATAAAGTGTAAAGAGGAATGGAGGATGAAAAATGAGGCTGGAGATGAGCAGGAGTCAAGTCAAAGATTTTCTTGCTGTGCTAAGCAGTCTAGGTTTAGTCTCAACAGCACTGGGGGGGCATTGGATTTTGTAAATTAAAGTCTACTTATATTTATTTTAGAAACACCCACATTACTATTGTGAATGGGTTGGAGAGACCACCTAGAGGCAGGAGAGTTTTCTCTCTTTAAACATTGACTCTTTTCATTCTAGTGTGCCTTTTGAAGTGCCGAAGTTGAAAAGTGGAAAGAGTGCATTGGAAGCTGAGAGTGAAAGTTTGGATAGCTACACAGCTGACTCAGATAGTGCTTCAAGGTGAATATACCCCCATTTTCCTCACTTCTGCTCAATCTGAGTTTTCATTTTGTTTTTTAGCATCAAGATGTGGGTCTGTGCTTTTAGTGTTTCTGATTTCTGTCTTCAGGCAACTGAATGTAGTATTTTCTCTGACTTCACCCAAAGTCTCTCAGTAGCATTTACACTGAGTTGGCTCTGAACACAGCTTTCTGGAGTATGTTAACTTTCCCAGTCTGCTGTACCTTGGAAGATTCTCCATGGCCCAGTAGCAACTGATGCTGCTGTGCTTTAGGAGTGGGGGTAAGAGTATTTGTGTTTGTGTAAAACTGCTTGTCAGATCTTTTACATGCCTTCAAGATAAATCAAGTATGAAATTTGGATTTGGTTTTCTTTGGTAACTTTTGCATTTGATTACTATGATGACCCCAAGCCACTGACTCTCCTTTGGTAGAGCTTTGGGTCCTGGTGGAAGAGGAAAGGAAAAGAATGATTTAATTATAATATCTTAATATCCCTCCAGGAGAGACTCTCTCGATAAATCTGGCCTCTTTCCAGAATGGAAGAAGATGTCTTCCCCCCGATCTCAAGTAGAAAAGGTAAACTTCTGGTTATTGTTTTTTCCTTCTCTTCTGTCCCTCTTTCTCTTTTTTCTTTCTTTATATTCGCTTCCCTCACCTTGCTTTCTCCTTTCCTTTCTTCTAACACTTACCCTTTGCCTCTTCCCCCCTCCTTTTTTCCTTCCTTCCCTCCTTCAACTTCCTTCTTTCCTTCCTTCCTTCCTTCCTTCTCCAGTTAGAATTTAAATCAGGAATTCGATTAAGCAAATTGCTTTTAAGATTCACTTGGAAGTACTTTCTAAGGTATTGGTTCAAATGAGTGATAAAGTAGTTTTTCAATACTTTAGGCAGTTCATTTTTTAGTTTTGTTGTAGTTGAATAAGTACCTGAGCCTTATTCTGCTTACAGCTGTTCTTCATTACTCACCACTTCTACCTGAACACCTGCCAGTTTCCACTACTTTTCCCTTATTCCTTCCTAGGAAATTCAGCCGGTGGGTCAAAATGTAGTATCTGTTGATGAGGATGAAATGATATTCAAGAACACCAGAAAAATCTTCAGGCCTGCAGGTAGCCAGTTTGGGAACTGAAGTTCTGAGTACCCATGTTGGGCCTGTGGTATAGAGCAGAGTAGGCCTGTTTTGACTTGGATTTTTGGTCTTTCCCTTAGAATACACTAAATCTGTGATAGATCTTCGTCCAGAAGATGTAGGGCATGAGAGTAGCTCCATGGGAGACAGAAGCAAATCTGTCCCAGGTCTCACTGTGGATATGGTAAGTACTCTAATATTTCATTTGTCCACTGTATCTTTTTTCTGTAGAGTTGTCTTTAGGTCCTTTTACTTTGAGTTAGCTATTTAATGCTTTTGCAAAAGGAAACATGAGTCTTAATTCCCTGGTTTTCTTAAAGGAAAGGACTTTTTTTTTTCTTTAGGTCTGTTATCTTCTAATACATTGCTGAATATATGGTTTAAGGCTCAAATGTTATTTTTGTTTTGTTTTATATTTTAGGGAAGGGTCTACAGGGTGTTCAGGGTCTCAATACTAGAATGGACTCATAGTGATCCGCCTGTTTACAGCCTCCCAAGAGCTGGGATTACAGGTGTGCGACACCACACCTAGTCTCAATTGCCATCTCAGTGCACCCCAGGGGCAGGACCAGCATGGCAGGCCCCTGTGCCTGCTTACAGGTGCTTTAATCCACTGAGCTATTTGGCTGGCCCTTCAAATGTTATTTTGATTCAAATGTAAAAGTATAGTTTGGTTGGGGTAGTCAACTAGAAAAGAATTATAGCTTCTGTGAATATCTTTGTTACTTTCTTATTGCTGGGATAACTACTTCACACACACAAGTTAAAGGAGGACAGGTTTTCTTTAGTTAACAGTTTGTAGAGGTTTTACTCCGTAGTCAGCTGACTTCACTGCAAAGCAGCATTACAGAGGGACGTGGCCCAGGAGAAACACGCCATGGTAGGGCAGGTACAAACATCAAGTAGTGAGCCTCTATTCAAGCTGTAAACCTACTAGTTGATAGCACCCACACCCATTGTGAGGTGTCTGTCTTCAGTAAATCCACTCAACAACATCCAGAAAACTGCCAACCAATTTGTGGATTAATCTAGTACCACACACCCTTAATTCCAGTATCACATACCCATGATTCAACCACCTCCCAAAAGCCACATCATTGAACACATGAGGCTTTGGGGGACATTTAGATAAATGTAAGCCATAATAACTTGTCCCTGGTCCCTCAAAGACTCATTTCCACTTATTTATTTATTTATTGCATTTTAGGGAAGCGTCTACAGGGTATTCAGGGTCTCACTACTAGATCGGATTCATAGTAATCTGCCTGTTTACAGCTCCATCCATTTATGAAAAATGAATTTATTCCATCTCTAAGAGGTGACAAACTGCTAACAACTTCAGCACTGCTGCAGTCTGAGTCCAAAGTTTTGTCTGATTTTTAAGGCAAACTCTTAGCTATGAGCCCCTGTAAAGATGAAATAAAAGCTAAATACTTCTAATATACACTGACACAAAATAAATATTTCCATCCCAAAGTATAGAAATAGGAGGCTAGATGGGTGTGGGATCAAAACAAGACTAAAATCCACCAATACAAATGTTAAATACCATAGTTCCATGTATTGAATCTGGGATAATCTGTGGCAAGGTGTGAGCTTTAAAGGGTTTGGGTGCTTCTCTGCACCTATGGCACTGTCAGTGGTTATAGTTCTCATGGCTTTTCTCCTGGAACAGCTTTGGGCACCCTTCAGGTGATCCATATCCATGGCTTCTCCAACTTTCTTGGGTCTCTACTGTACCTTTGGCTTCACATTCAGTTTCATATACTTTCCCTCTTGGGGGCATACTACCAGACTGTAGTCCTTTTCAAATCTGCATGTTAACCTTCCTGATTTAAAATGTTTAAAAAACATTTTAAATCATTTTTGGCACTTTGTTCTTTTTCTTTTTTTGTGGTACTGGAGTTTGAACTCAGGACCCTGAGCTTGCCAGGCAGGTGCTTATTCTACTGAGCTATCTCCCTGGCCCAGCCCTTCGTTCTTGATTCTCAGCATAGATCTGACTAAAAGTCCCAAACAGTAGTCATGTCAACACCTCAACATCAGACTGCCTTGAAATTTCTCCTGCAAGTTTAGTCTGCCACACTTAATCCCAGTCCCCTGTAAATTCTTTAGGCATGCAAAAAATGCAAAAAAATTTTTTCTGCAAAGCATTACACCTATGACCTGGAGTACTGAATTACAACCAATTCAGTACTTATTCCTAACTGCAAACTCCTCAACTTGATCTTTACTAGCTTAATTTCTACCAGAATTCTGGTATTCTGAGCACTGACCAGAATCTCCTATTAAGTTCAGCTTACGGCATTCTCATGCTGGTTCCTCATCAGGCATGTCCAAGCCTTTCCAAACTGTTTCAAAAAGTCAGTCCCAAAAGGCTTCTGAACCACATGGTCAAGTAGTGTCACAGCAGTGACCCCACTACTGGTACCAAAATTTGTCTTACTTTCTCTTTGCCTGGATAAATGTTCAACATCTACAGGTTAAAGGAAAAAAGGTTTGTTTTAGCTCAGATTTAGAGGTTTCAGTCCATAGTCAGGTGACTTCACCTCAGGGCAACACTGCAGAGGGACATAGCAGGGGAAAAACATTCCATGGCAAGGCAGATGCAAAAGCATCAAGCATTGAGCCTTTTTCCCCTTTTATTGAATTCAAGCTCCAATCCTACTATTTGTTGGCACCCCACCCATGGTGGAGCTTCTGTCTTCAATAAATCCATTCAGGCACACCCAGAACAATGCTAATCAATTAGTGGACTAATCCAGTACTACACACCATTAATTCTAGTATTATATGCACATGATCCAACCACCTCCCAAAAGCTGCAACTGTGAATGCACGAGCCTTTGAATGCACATCCATATATAAGCCATAATAGTGAAAACATTAAGTATTCTTTTGAGGTATGACAAATATGGTTGGAATTGAGTTTGGAAGCTAGAAACTGGGAGACATATAAAAATAAGGATATGTGGGTATGTTTTCACTTGGAACTTCAGAGCTTTGCAACAATTTCTATTAAAAAAGGTATTTCCAGATGTTGAAGCATTTCTTATTCTTATTCTAAATTTTTATTTATTGTTCTAGGCAAAGGGAGAAGAGGAGGAGGAGGAGGAAGAGGAGGAAGAAGACATTGACCATTTGGTGAAGTTGCATCGCCAGAAACTAGCCAGAAGCAGCATGCAAAGTGGCTCCTCCATGGTAAGTTATATTTCCTCTGTGGTTGTACATGTAGTGAATTGACAAAAAAAGAAAAGCCTCTCTAGAGCAGATATAGGAACTTAACCATTTTGGTCAATATTTCCAAGTAAGGAAAATACATTTGTTTGTTCTTTTTTTTTTGTGGTACCAGGGATTGAACTCAGGGCCTTGCTCTTGCCAGGCAGGCACTTATTCTACTGAGCTATCTCCCCAGCCCCCATTTGTTTGTTCTAATCCTCCAATTATCCCATAGAAACTTAGTGTACATCTAGGTGACTTCCTCCATCTGCTTCCTATATATTCTTACACTAGGTAATGGGACAAGGAATGTTCATCACAGTTGTGTGAACAGTAACAGTTTGCTTAAGAAGTATGCAGGTCACAAAGTGAGCAAGATCAAACTTCATCATAGTTCACTCCAGATTCTCACATTAAAGGGAAGTGAGCATCATGAGAAGAGCTCTGGTAGGGATTAATTGGCATCAAGGTGTGATTAAGGATAATCAGTACCAATAAGGATCATGAACTTAAAGTGACATTTTAAAATCAAGGCCTGGTACTCTCATAGCTATTAAGTTTGATATTTAAGAGAAATAGTCAGGAACAATGCTGATAGAATTTCACACTCACACACAGGAAGAAACTATTAGACTGACACAACTGGTCATTATCAGAGAGGAAATATATCTGTTTATACACCCCCATTCTAGTCCAATCCCTTTTATAAGACACCTTATTGGATTAGTACCTAACCCCTTTTAATACATGTTTTAAAATATATAAAATTATAACACATACCATAAATTAGATTTAGCTGCACCTTACTTCTACTTCTTATTCTTCTTATGGAGCAAGTGAAAATTAACAGTAACATATGTGAAAAGAGAACCTAGGAGCTTATGTGATTCATGAAATGGTTTACTAATCTAAACAATAGTGAGTGCCCTGCTAGCCCTGACTTATCCTCTGGGTCATAACTGTTGGCAGTTCTGGCTCCTTGCAGGGACTTTGGAAGTTTTTGTTCTGACAGTGACTGTGGAGTTATCATGAGAGAAGACATGAGCATTGTGAATGGTGCAGTATGCTTCCCTCACATTTTTGTTGGGTGCTTTGTCTTCAGAGTACCATTGGCAGCATGATGAGCATCTATAGTGAAGCTGGTGATTTTGGAAACATCTTTGTGACTGGCAAGATTGCCTTTGCCTTGAAGTTTGAGCAGCAAACACAAACTCTGGTCATTCATGTGAAGGAGTGCCACCAACTGGCCTATGCAGATGAAGCCAAGAAGCGCTCTAACCCGTGAGTGCTTCTGAAACTTAACTTATACTCTGAGATAAGAAACCAGGCTCTACTCTTAGAGATGAACTAAATGCCTTTTGCATAATAAGATGTGAATAAGTCTTTATGGAGCTGGGTGAAATGTTATAGTTTGTATCTAGATATCCCCTCAAAGCCTCATGCAGTCATAGCAAGGCCTTTATCAGAAGTGGCTGAATCTAGGGTGTGTAATGCTGAGATTAAAGAACTATGATTAGCAAATCACTCCACTGATTGGTTTGGCATAGTTCTAGCTTGGTTTAATGATGTGAGTGCTATATCCAGCCTAGGCTAGGTAGTCTGCATACAATATAAGGGACAGTCAGTCTCTCTCTCTCTCTCTCTCTCTCTCTCTCTCTCTGTATCTCTCTCTCTCTGTGTCTCTATCTCTGTGTCTCTCTCTGTTTCTGTGTCTCTGTTTGTCTCTGTCTATCTGTCTCTGTCTCGCTGTGTCTGTCTCTGTCTCGCTGTCTCTTTTTCTGTCTCTATCGCTCTCTGTCTGTCTGTCTGTCTGTCTCTTTCTCTCTTGTTGTTTATGCTTTCTTTCAACACTATGAAATAGGGGCTGGGGAGATGGCTCAGTGGAATAAGCGCTTCCCCAGCAAGCACAAGGGCCTGAGTTCAATCCCCGGTTCCATAAAAAAAAAAAAAAAAGAAAAAAAAAAAAAAAAAAAAGAGCTGCATCCAACACCATGAAATATTGTCCTCTGCCATGTGCCACCATGATTTGGAGCCAGGCAACTGAAACCTCTATAGACTGTGAGCAAAATAGACCTTTTCTTTCCTTCCTTTGTGTGTGTGTGTGTGTGTGTGTGTGTGTGTGTGTGTGAGAGAGAGAGAGAGAGAGAGAGAGAGAGAGATAGACTGACCGACTGACCAACTGACTGACTGACCAGGCTCTGACTGACATAAGCATCAGTCTGGACATTTTTGAACTGAGCTTGTCACTTTCTATGGTGGATTGGGGTTCAAAGGTGTGAATTCTGGGAAAAAATAAGACCTACTTAAGGCTTTAGATAACATTTATGACATTACTTTTCATCATGGAATATTTATTTGGCAAGCAGGGAAGTGAAGAAGGGGCTTGAGAAAGGATAGCAAGTTATTCAGTACTTTTTTGGTTTCTAGGTATGTAAAGACTTATCTTCTCCCTGACAAGTCCCGCCAAGGTAAAAGAAAAACCTCCATCAAACGGGACACTGTCAATCCACTTTATGATGAGATCCTCAGGGTAAGTAACTTGATTCTGAAGGCAAAAGAACTTGGTTCTGTTTTGCGACCCAAACTGTAATGTAACTGACTTGGGTTTCAGTAAGCCATATTTGTGTCATTTCAAAAAGTCATTTGGTATAAAGAGTCTTCTTGGTAATTACTTAGAGATGTGCCAGTATCCTTTCACTCACTCAAGGAAAAAAGCCCTAATTTTCCAGGTCTTATGAATTGTGGTAGGTTTGTGAAATGGAGTACATTGAGGATTTGAGTGAGGAAACTCAAGCTCAATATGTGTAAGGTCTACAATAATTTGTTATTTAAGGCCTCAATATTGAATGTGCGTTGCTTAACACTTAGGAGAATATCTTTTGAGGTTAACTGATCATCTTGGGCTTATCTTCACAGTATGAGATTCCAGAATCTCTCCTGGCCCAGAGGACCTTGCAGTTTTCAGTGTGGCACCATGGGCGTTTTGGAAGAAACACTTTTCTTGGAGAGGCAGAGGTCCATATGGATTCCTGGAAGCTTGATAAGAAGCTGGATCATTGCCTTCCTTTACATGGAAAGGTAGTCTGTTTTAATAACTCCTTCTACAGCTTGGTTGGAATTATCTATAGTGGCCTCTTCAGATCTATATTGGAGTGACTTTGAATGTAGTTCCTGATAGAACTCTAGTGCACCCTATTGGCATTTCTGAGTTTCACAGCAATTTCAGACACTCGTCGTAAGTGTGCGCAGTCACTTCTGTCAAAGTGAGGCAAAGTATGAAGCCATGTTTTTTTATAGAGAAGTCTTTCATCTGTGTGCCATGCCTTGCCTCCTAACCTTCCAGACTCCTAACTTCTCTACGCTGCCCTTCTTGATGTCCTCTAATAGCTCCCCTTTCCCAAGCTAACCTCGCTGAACAAGTAAAGCAGTTTATGTTACTTCAGTAGCTATACTTTTGCATTAACTAGAGACAGTTTTACTTTGGAGATGGTATCTCAAGTGATCGTGTCACACTGTAGCGTAATCATGCCTGGGGTCCGAGTGCAGTGCTGGCTTGGACTCTTGGTTCTGTTACTTGCAAGCTATGTGAAACACCCAGTATATAAAGTAATTTAGCGATGTCATAACTAAACTAACTTATCAGACTCAGTTCTTCATCCATAAGTGGAGATAATAATATTTCTCTTTTTCAGGATTATATGGAAAATATTATTCAGTACCAGACACATAACACATTCAATATGCTATCGTCATTCTGGTTAAAATGAAGTTGCTAAAGTAGAGGACTTAACAACTTCTTGCTTGTCAGAATTGTAGGAGAACATTGCCCTCCTTTACAATTTTGATATAGAAACTTAAATGCTTAAAATAATGTATGGTACCACTGGAAATTGTAGAGTATTAAATAACAAACTAGTAATTGTAATGGCCTCTAGAAAATGAGCCTGAGGTAAAAGGAAGATACAGTTTCTTGATGTGCCTTTTAAATTTTTTTTCATTATTTACCATGTTAAAAAATTAAGCATAAAAGGATTTAGATGAACATGGTTCCAAATTAAAACAACATAAGGTATATAAAAAGAAAATAGGTTTGTTCCTTAGAAGTAACTATCATTAACAAGTAGTTAAATATCTCTTTAGAAATTTTGTATTAAGTGGCACAGATATAAATCTATGGATTTGTATTTTTTTCCTTTTTATACAACTGGGCTTGGGCCGAGGAGCTACCTCAGCGGTGTAAGCACCTACCTGGCAAGTGCAAGGACCTGGGTTCAGTCCCTGGTATTGCATGCCATGCTGGCCCTGGAATCCTGGGTGTGGTGTGCTAGCCACCGAAACTGGGTGTGGTGCATGCCTATAATCCCATCACTGGGGAGACTGAGACAGGAGGATCAGTATGAGTCCAAGCTGCATACAGAGACCCTGTACCAAATAAATAAACAAGAGATTTTTAAAAATACACACATGGGCTCAAATGAACCCCATTTTTGTGTATATAGATAGATAGATAGATAGATATAGATAAATATATATAGATAGATATATCTCTATATATAGATATATATCTATATATAGAGAGAGAATTTTAAATGCATAGTGTTTCATCACGCAGCTCTATTATAATTTATTTATTTTTTCATTGAATGAGCATTTAAGCTATTTAAAGTTTTGTTTTTCAATTCTAATATATCTGTGGTCCTTTTGTGAATGTAAGTATCAGGTATATTCCTGATGGTAGAATTGCTGAGTTAAAGGAAGTGTATGCCCAATAATTGGATGGTAATCGCCCTCTCCAAACAGTAACATTAAACTTATCCATTTAAATATTAATTTAAAACATGTCATTAGAAATGTAAAGCATTTGTCTTTTAAATCTTAAGCATGTGTCATTTAAGTACTTCTCTCAAGTTGCTACATTTTATATAATTATATTGGAAATGTCACTGTGAACCATCACGAACTACCAATAATATATTGTATATAATGTTGTATATAAAAAGAAGAAACTATTAAATAGAGGTAGTTGCTCTTTGCAAATATTTTGAGCTATAATGAAAATGTGCTACAGAAACAAATAGTAGTTTCAACCTAATACTAAAATCCACAACTTTAAAGGGTGCCCTGAAATTTTCCACATGGAAATTAATAAAACATATACACATTTTATAAGCAGCAAAAAGATTAAGGGCCAGCCAAATAGCACAGTGGATTAAAGTGCCTACTTAGGCAGACACAGCTATGGAGGTTCAAGGCCCTCTGTGCTGGCCCTGCCCCTGGGGCACACTGAGACAGCAATTGAGACTGGGCATGGTGGCACACACGTCTGTAATCCCAGCTCTTGGGAGGTTGAACACAGGCGGATCACTACAAATCTGATCTATATAGTAAAGCCCTGTAGACACTTACTAAAATACAAAAAAAAAAATCATTCGCCTATTATGTATCTATTTTTAGCATAAAATGTCCTGCATTTGTTATTTTGGATTTTTTTTACTGTTTTTTTCTTTTTCTTTCTTTTTTTCCCCCCAGCAATATTCTTGCTCCCCTTCCAATTTCTTTTGCTGGCATCTCCTTCCAAATTCTTTTGTCTCCCATATACTAATCTTTGTGTATCCTGGGTGTGTGATACATTGACATAAAACTATGAGAGTTATAACTTTCTAGCGTCAGGATGCTCTGTGATGAAGACCTTGCTTAGAGGCAGGTAAAAGGTGATCTATATTCTGTACCATTCATGGTCTCAAAACCCAAAAATAAAGGGGAGTCACACCAAGAGAAGCAAGAGAATGAAGCATTTTTGCCAGGCAGAGTTAAAAATAGGGCATTTGATATTTTCAAAGTCAAAGATAAGGCACTTGATATTTTCCCCAGATATCCATTATTTTATCTTAAATTTATTCAGTAAATATTTTTAGATTGCCTAGTATGTGTCAGACACGTTATTGAGTATTGGGCATGCTAGGATGAAAAGAAAAATAGGTTTGAAGGAGTTTGTGGGAGAGCTTCCGGCTACCCAGCACCAGCGGGACCAACTCCAGGTCGCAGCCCTAGTGCAGCGTGGGTCAGACCGTCTTCCACCCCCTTGGGACGCCCCCTACCACTCCGCAGTACCTCCCCCACCCCGGCTGCCGAGTAGGAATTTCTGCCACGTTCCAGGAACCCCCAGACCCAGTCCTAGCCCAGGTCTGGGGCACAACAGGTTCACCCTCAAGGGCAGCAGCAGGAAGGAG